ATGTCAAACAAAAAGAATGCAAGACAAAAAACTAATAAAAAAAACTTTTATTTGATGGATGGCAAGTAAAAATCTACTTTGCAACAATTCTGAATTAAAAATGATTAATTGCAAACATTTTAAACTTACAAGAAATACAATAGTTATTAAACAAAAATGTTTCAAAACACACTTTAGAAGATAATGCAGTGTAACACCATCATTTGAAAATGCATGAATTTTTAAGCAGACAAATAATATGAACTAAATTTATAGATTTCATGCATTACTAGTTGAAGATCTCTGGGATAAAAACTTCCGAGATTGCCCTTAGAAGTTTACCTCAAGTGCTTGCATTCTTAAATAAGGTCAAATCCACGTGACAGTGCCCACACATGTATCTAATCTCTAACATGAAGCTAAATTCTCCCACTTCCATGCTCTGGATTTAATCATGGTGATATTAACAAGATAGTACAGTACTTGTCCACTCTGCAGTTGGTAAATTCCATTTCAGCTGGTAACACACCTCCTCCTCATCCAAGATCACAACGCTATGACTGAGGAGAAAGAAGAGGCTTTTCTCAATTTATGTTGGACCTTGCTACAATAACTCTCTGAGTATAATTTGTATATAGTTTCAAATTTATGAAAGAAGACTAGATTTTACTTATAAAAGAAACTGTTAAAGCACAAATGAATATTCGTCATAATCCAAAGAACAAGCATTATATATTATTGTCCGCATAGTATCTAATGTAGTACCTGATACTATGAAAGAAGTGGAATTGTTAAAAACAAAAAACTTACCAGAAATCAGTTGACTTTTTGATTAGATAAGATAATTGGTCGAAACTCAGTTCTGCCCACATAATTTTCATTAACGAACGGTAACAACTTCCAAAAAGTTAAAGCTTTGCGACATTTTTCCAAAGTGTGATTCAATTTAAAATTATAAACACATTATTCGGGCATGATCAGTTGGAGTTCACTGCAAAGTATTTGATCAAGAGGTCTATATTGATCCGTCAACAAACTGATTCAAAAAGAATGCTTCAACATGTTATTAACCTTTTCCTGACAAACATTCTGGAGAAAAGAGGACAGAGTGGGAGAAATAAGAGGAAAGAACATTTATTCTAGTCTTTTTTGAGGCTTGTTTTTACGTCCCGTTCAATGGAGTACACTTTCAAATCAAACTGACTAGTTCCTGATGAATTAAATTTTATTAGATCACATTACTTTTCAAAATCAAGTAGCTAGTTATACTCACACAATACACAGAACACATACATGTTTCCTTTCTATCCACGTATATTGGGTTTGATTGTAAGAGAAAAAAAGTATGCTATGTTTAAAATCAAGAGTTAGATTTAATAGTAATAAGCAAAAGAGAAAAATATTCTACTTAATTGGATACAATCTGACCTTGCCTAGATTACCAATAATGCTGTAATTTCCCCTCCCAAATTTGTTTATCAGATTGCAACCTATATCTTCTTAATTATGTGCAATAATAACTTTCTATAGCTTTACTGTTCCAAAATATGAGTTCCTAAATGTTAAATGGTTGTACAGTAGCCAGTAGAGTTCAATCTTCAACAATTAAATAATTTATTTTTAGATATAAATTCCTCAACCACAATAGCTTTATCATACAAGCAGTTATCAAGAGCATTAGTGTAGCTCTTGATAACTTAGGATTGGTTTGTGATCCTATTATGGTATCTACTAAGATCATACCTTCTTGATTAGAAACATAACATGTAGAAGCAGGAGTAGGCCATTCGGCCCTTCGAGCCTGCCCCACCATTCAATCATGGCTGATCTAATCTAACTCCAGCTAATAACCTGACCCTGCCTTATCCCCATATCCCTTAATACCTTTTACAATAAGAAATCTATCTATCTCAGTCTTGAATATGTTCAAGGACTGAGCATCAACAGCCCTTTGGGGTAGTGAGTTCCATACATTCACTACCCTTTGAGTGAAGAAGTTCTTCCTCAACTCAGTGCAAAAGGGCTGGCCTCTGATTTTAAGGTTGTGACCCCTGGTTTTAGTTTCTCCAACCAGGGGAAACAATCTCCCACTATCTACTCTATCATGCCCTTTGATAATCTTATAGGTTTCTATAAGATCCCCTCTGATTCTTCTATATTCTAGAGAATATAGGCCCAAATTGGTCAGCCTACCCTCGTAACTCATCCCCTTCATCCCTGGTACTAACCTAGTAAATCTACGCTGCACCCCCTCCAAGGCAAGTACATCCTTCCTTAAATAAGGAGACCAAAACTGCACACAGTATTCTCACCAGGGCCCTATACAGTTTCAGCAAGACTTCCCTACTCTTATACTCTAATCCTTTCATAATGAATGCTAACATACTGTTTGCCTTCCTAATTGTTTGCTGCACCTGCAGACTAACTTTCTGTGAGTGGTGTACAAGGACACCCAAGTCCCTCTGGACACTAACACATTCTAATCTCTCCCCTTCTAAAAAATAACCCACTCTACTGTTTTTGCTACCGAGGTGGATGACTTTGCAGTTCCCTACATTATACTTCATCTGCCACCTACCTGCCCAATCACCTAACCTATCTATGTCTCGCTGCATTTTTTTTAATGTCATCCTCTGTATTGACACTTCCTCCCAGTTTTGCATCATCCGCAAATTTAGATATATTAACTTCGATATCCTCATCTGGATCGTTGATGGAGATGGTAAATAGCTGAGGCCCAAGGACTGATCCTTGTGGCACTCCACTAGTCACATCCCGCCAATCTGAAAAGGACCCGTTTATCCCTACTCTTTGTTTCCTACCCGTTAACCATTCCCCAACCCACGTTAATATGCTCCACCCAATTCCATGGGCCCTTATCTTTTGGACTAACCTTTTATGCAGCACCTTATCGAATGCCTTCTGGAAGTCCAAATAGACCACATCCACTGATTCACCCTTATCTAGTTTACTAGAATATGTGGAAGTGACTCGTGTACCAATCATCAGTCATCAATCAGATTTTTTTCAACCAAAGTGAGAAATGTTACATGGGTGTGATTTTTACTTACAATATGCAAATATTTAATTTATAAAGAAAATTAACAATCCGTACTCACTTATATGGGGTATTAACATGTCATTTGTAACATGCGATACAGGAAGCAGCTTTATGCTAAGGCTAAAACCTTCTAGTTGGATTTGTTCTACTGTATCGTACCATTCCCTGCCTACCACACTCACTCATCTCAACTTTTAAAATTAAGTTTTTTTCAAAAAAAATAACTATATAATTCCCCAATTGCTTTCCTTTAGAGAAAAAGGTTCACTACAATCAAATTTTGCCATGTCTCCTGTGACAATATTCATTCACTGAAATGAGCAAGATAAGTCATCACAATTTGTATCTATCACTACAACCTCCAAAATAGTTTCTAAGCAGATAGCTATGCAATTATATTTTTAAAAAGGCAATCATCGCAGCACTTTTGATTTGCTGAGAGTCTGTCTATCTATCCACTACTCTATGGTGGAAAAATCTTCGAATGTCTTGTCTCAGTTGAGTTATTCATTTCAAACCTATTTCTTCCAGTATGGGACTCAAAATCTTTTTACTTTCACTTCATCTTTTCTCATCATTTTCAAGATTTGAGTCGTGCCTATATTCTCCCTATTCTTTTCACCAATGCCTTAGGACTTCCTCCTGATGTGAACGGGGCTGCACAAATGTAATTTATTGTTGTTATCTCTTTGCGATCCTCTCCTCATAACAATGCTCCATGTCCTGCAAACATCCTCCTCACTTTATTCGGAACCTTCTCCAATGCTTTAACATCTTTTTAAAGGTAAAGTGTCCAAATATACACATAATATTCCAAATGTTACATTGCTGGTTGGAATAATTTGTGAAATGTATTAAAAAAAAGTGATTGACTGGCTTTGTTGCCAGTGACTTTACATATACTAGAAAAAAACCTTTAGAAAGTAATTAATAATCATACAGATCCTTCTCCAAGTCAGCTTACCCCCTCCCCTTCATTGGGTTCACATACTTTTGTTTCTTTTCTTTTAAAAAAGGTACAGCTTTCCTTCTCAGTTGGTTTGTAACAAAACAATGTTATATTGCTTAAAATCAATATTCCCAAAATGCAACATCAAACCTGTATTGCTCATTTGCCATTATCTTTCAAATGTTTGTAAATCAGTTTCTAATGCATCTTTGGCCTGCAGAAAAACTGTCCACTGAATGGGATAACTTACTAAATCAGCATTATTCTGAATGGCATGAAAAAAAAACGATTACTACCCACGGAAGGATAATTACTACCATCAGTAGAGATGCTGTATCCTGTCTCCCACTGAACAACAATGGTTTTGACAAAACCGCTAAATACTGAGCGGAGGAGAAGCAAAGGGAAATAATGTTGGCGATCATGCAAGGCTTGCAGTAGTCAAAAGATTCAGTTTGATGGCAAGAAGTGGTCCCACTTGAGTGAGATTCAACCTCATTCCGGCATTGCAAACAAGAAGCCTCAAGATGATGTCACAATGATTTTATGTTGAATTAAATCCTTCATCTTAATAATAAATCTGAACAGTAAATCAGTGAAACTCCATCGTTGGCGATTCTGCCACCAATTCAGTGCACACAGGTGCTGATGTTTGAGGAGCTCTTATTACTGCAATGTGGCTGTTTCTCAGCATCGCCGTCTTTACATTCATTACGTACTGAAAACGCAAAGAATCTTATCAGCCCGTGGAGTCGTCCAAAAATAACTGCTGTTTCAACACATAAAGTGTTTCAACGCCGAAACAGTTCAACAAAAGCGAAACGAGTACTGTGTTCAATAACACACACTCCCACCTTTACTTTCTTGCCCTTTCCTCATATTGCGCATTGATGTTGTTGCTCCGGGTGCTTTATGAGTTGCTTGTGGGTTTGCAATAATTCAAATAACAACAAATATATAAATCTCATCCAAGCAATAGCGGAATGCATTGCCACCGACAAAGGGACTCACCAATTCCTTGTACTCGCGGTGGATCTCCGTGTAAGACAACTTGTTTTCTTCCTCATCGTCAAAAACTGAAATAAAAAGAGGACACCGACGTTCACACGGACGGACCAGACTGGGAGATGAACACTCTGCGCGGCCACAACTCTGCGCTCTCGGGATTCCGCTCCGACCCAAGGATTCCCGATGTAATATGTCCATCGGCAAACACAGCAGTGGTGAGAGCAAACACTGCCACGTTACCCCCTCCACACACACACACCCCACACACACACACCCCCCACACCCCTCCCCCCCACACACACACACACCCCACACCCCACACCACACACACACCCCCACCACACACACCCCCCACCCCCCCCCCACACACACACACACCCCACACCACACCCCCACACCACACACACCCCACACACACACCACACCCCACACCCCACCCACACACACACACCCCCACCCACACACACACACCCCCACCCCCCCACACACACACACCCACACACACACCCCCCACCCCTCCCCCCCACACACCACACCCACACCCCCACACCACACACACCCCCCCCCACACACACCCCCCACACCCACCCCCCCCACACACACACCCCCACACACACACACCCCCCACACACACCCCCACACACACACACCCCACACACACCCCCCCCCACACACACACACCCCCACACACCCCCACACCCACACACACCCCCACACAGCCCACCCACACCCCCACACAGCCCCCCCACACCCCACACAGCCCCCCCCCCCCACACAGACCCACCCACCCACACACCCAACACCTCCAATCGATGCCAGGACGGACAGTACCGCACTGGAGCTGGTGGTGACAGTCACAGGAGGCCTACACACTGAGCTCCCCTTCAGCACAACAGCACAAATCACTGCCTCCTCCCAAATGACTTCAGGGCACACGTCAAAAGCCTCGGCGCGGTGCGGGCGGCGGCGGCGGCGGCTATTATACCTATGCAGTTCTGCTCGACGAAGTCGGTGGTGGGTATGGTCCAGCAGGGGCTGCTGAGGTAACCCGCTATGCCTTCCACCACCCACTCCTCCATGTTCACGCCGCCTCCCTCTCCCCCTCTCTCCCCCTCCGCAGGACGGAGAGCTCGCCGGCCCGCGGACCCGGATGGAGCCGCTGCGAGCCCGTCTCCATAGCAACCAACCAACCGCGCCGGGGCGCGGAGCGGAGGGGTGAGGGGGCGGGCGATTCTCTTTCAGGATCAATCCGCGACGCCGCGTCACCGCCATTCCGCCGCCATTGTTGGCACCGCCGACCCGCCTCGTGCTTCTCGCCCCTGTGGGGCCGCTCCTGCTCAGCACTGACAGGCGGTGCTGCAGCTCCGGCCGCACAGCGCCATTGCTGCAGATGTACTGAGAGGCGTTTTCCGACCAGCTCCTCTGGGGTAGCGCCTTGGGACGTCCTCCTGACCAGAAAGGCGCTGTATAAATGAAATCGTGTTGTTGTTGTTGTTGTTGTTCTCCTGGTGGCCTGCTCAACTCTGTTCTTCCGCCCTTGTTCATCTTCGCGTCCCGCCTCAAGACCTTTCTCTCTGACCACGTCGATGGTCACCCCCGATGGCAGAGTTTGCCGTCCAGATCTGCCACCGTTAAGTGCTCCGAGACGCGTGAAGGGTGCGACGTAAATGCAAGTTGTGTTTTGTCCACACTCCTCCAAATGAATTCGTCACCCATCTCACGAGTCATTTGCTGTGCCCAAATTGGTTGCCGTTTGCCTACAAATAAATAGTCACTACACTGAGGACTCTGAAAAGCTTTGCAGCTCTCCACTTTGTGTGCGTATATCAAATGCAACAATTATTATAAAAACGTTCATTTCTGATTCATTTTGTTTTGCAAACACTTTGAGATGTTTATTTTACATGAAAGTGGAATATACTGTAAATGCTTACATGAAAATGTTTATTTTGAAACATTTAGCAACAGAGTAGCCAGATTGCAGCAGAATGTTGCTTCTTTGGTCGATCCAATGGACACATTTTAAGGCTCCACCTGGCAAGACATAACGTTATCATTTAAACCTCCATACGATCAGATGAAGGCCAACTTTAATGACATTTCAGGAAATTGTCAAGTGGAATTTTGGCTTACATACCAATCCATATTGATAACTCAGTGAATGATATATCAACTAAGAATTCCTCCACAACATCCTTAGATTCTATCATTATGTGTTAAATCTGTGAACAACGCCTCCCTATCTCTCATCTCCTATCCCGTTCCATTTCTTCCCTCCACGTGGCTAACTCAGGCTTGTTGCGCCATCCCTTCCTCCATACTACTATCAGTGCCCATGCTTTCAGATTCTATTTCCTAACTTCTGGCACTCCCTCCCTCTACTCCCACGTCTTGTTGCCTGTTTATCGCTTTTTAAACCCCACCTTAAAACCTGCCTCTCAACCATGCCTATTGTTACCCTCCCCCTCCACCTTCTCTTGCTTGATGTCCGTTTGCAGGGCGTTGGAGAGAGAGAGCAGGGGAGTGGGATTGATTTGGATAGCTCTTTCAAAAGAGCCGACACAGACACAACGGGTCGAATGGCCTCCTTCAGTGCTGTATAATTCTACAATTCTAATAAACATGATCAAATCTGGAAATTGATGGTCCCTATACTATTGGAGAAGAGCGTTGTTGTTGAATGTAATTTGAAACTTTAGAGAGAGGTTTGGGATTTTCCTTTGATTAACATTGAGGGACAGCAGAACTTTCCCTCATGACTTTTAAAAAAAACTGGGTAAATCACTAATAGAATAAATTGCAAATGATCTATGAACCGAATTGGTTTCGCCCACAAATATACGGTCAATTCACTTTACAGTCTATTCTGCAAAGCGTTTTGAGACGTCGAGAAGACATGAAAAGCGCTATATCAAATGCAAGGATTATTATTATTTTAGTATTGATAGGCCAAATGGCTATTTTTCATCCCATGTTGTATATTTTGAATTAACAGTAGCAGAGTGAGTAATAGAATCTGACTGGGCTCTAGAGATTTGTGAAATCCTAAATTATACTAACCAACAACAGTCAAATTGGCATTTATACAAAGACTTTTCTCAATTGGTAATACAGTTTGGATTTATAGATGTCTCCAGAGTCAAGCTTAGTTCCATTACTATGTATGCTATTCTTTAATTACCATTTATTTCATTTCCTACATTCTTTAGTCAGAGCAAGTAAAAAAAAAATCTAACCCCCTAAAGTATCCTATAGAAACTTTTTCCATTTGAGAGAAACTGCACGAGGCAGTGTAGCAGTGACATTTTCCTGGCAACAAGACTTCAGACATTTTGCGGTTTCTGGTACTGTGAATTACACGACTGAACCCTCCACAAATGCTGACAATTTTTAAAAAATGTGACTGGTTGAAAAATAAGGGGGCAACAGAACTGTGAATATCAGAAATACAGTTCAATTAAATTTATTTATTAATTTATCTATCCTAATTTATTTATCTTGTTTAATGTACTCTTTCCCAAATAATAGTGGAATAAAATCTGGAGTCAGTAATGATGTTATTCTCTGTCTGGTGGCAGTGATAAAAATTATAGTCAGCCATGGATAAAGCAGCCCCTAGCATAAAGTCCACTTCTTATGCAGTAAGATTTGATGTTTGCATCTAAAATGCAATATTCACAAACCCAATTCAAATCGCTAATTAGAACGTCCAGTTTGCAGATACATATTAGAGTACAAGATACAAATGACAAATGAAATGACAAATGGCAAATCCCCAAAATTTGAATAACATTTTTTTTTAAGATTCCGCCACCTTGGGGATTTCCAATTTGTGGTTTTGTGATTCTGAACCCAAATCTCGCATTCCAATATTTGCAAACCAGAAGACATATTTAGCAATTCAAATCCAGTTTGTTGACATTACTTTTTAGACTCCATTAATAAAACTATTTGGGTGGAAGTAAATTTAAGAGAAGCAAACCCAGATGTAAATTGACCCAGTAAAAAAACTATTTTTAGATATGTCATGTTTAATAAAATATGACTGATAAAAGAAAATGTATTATCCAATTACAATAATGCACAAATTAATTCACTAACAGTAGCAGACCTGTTTTATGTAATCAGTTTGCATTAAAGTAAAATACAATTGAATAGTCTTAATAGGTCATTTGTTTTCTACTCAGAATATAGTTGCATGGATACACAGTGTAGTTCACAGTAGGAGTAATTCTCTCGCCTGTCTATCAAATCTGTTAATTTTGTTGCTGTGCACAATGTAACACAGGTCATTTTCTCAGTGTTCATATATCTTTCCATCGGAGCAAATTACCTCTTTCTTTAGTGATGATGGATTGCCCAGAATATATACCGGAACTACTCAAAATGATTAACTGGAATGTCTTCAAGTTCTGTACCTCTACATAGGAACTACACTTTCCCAAAATACTACACTGAGAATGAATTGGGGAACACCTTTATATGTTATACAAAGCCACACAGAACTAATCAGGCATTGCTATTGGGAGTTGCAGCTGTTACTTACTTTGAAAAAGTAAAGACGTTTTAGAACACCTCTGTGGTCGATTCTCCAACATTTTGTGCTTTCATGGAGGGAAAATAATGGTTGTCACTGATTCTATACTGTACTTCCTTGATTTTCCCTTTCACACCCTCTTTTATAATATGTCTGTGTTGGTTTCCGGCATCTACTATATATCTCATCTACGGTTTATCTCAGTCCTACTCATCCTTGCTCTGTTCAATTATATTTTTATGATGCCATCCTGTTCTCTTTGTTTGTACTGTGCCTCCTTTTGTTCTCTCTGTCCTGATTTTATTCACCCTGATCCCTATATCTTAAAGGCTCCTTCACTGCATTCTGACATGTTTTTCTGTTTAATTTTATGGTCTGGACTTCTGGTGAATCACTTCCCTGATCCCAATTTTTTAAAATCAATGTACGTCTGTCCCAGTCTTTCTGCTAACAGCGTATTTCTACTATCTCCCTCTCATCTGATCTCATTCTCTCTGTTCCTGCTGCTTTCTTCTGCCCAATCTCATTCTCTCTGTTCCTCATATGTCTCCACCTCAATTTTTCTTCCTATGCTATTGTTATCTTTTAAACCTCCTGTTTATTTCTCTCTTACGAGATTCATCTAATCCTAGCCTCTTAGAAGCTCCCAAACATTTCAATCTTCCCATGTCTCTCTCTGTGGGATAATAAACATTGATCCAGAGACAAACTTTGACCTCTGACCCATATAATGTCATCCAAGAAGGGAGGACACAACAACTTTCTGTTAAAAGTATATTAAATCCCATCTTGCTGGGCTGCTATAATTATCACATAACATATTCTTAATTATTAAATACTTATATTTATTTTGTATTCATGTGCAACAATACAAATTTCAGTGTATTGTTATTGGATTGAACTGTTCCTTTTCTAAGTACTGGAAGAACATTAGAAAAGAAACAGTTCAATCCAAAAACAATACAGTTACAGGTATGTTATAGAAATGGAAAACTCCATATTGTATTTCTAATTAGTCAAAATCTTTATATTTATCTAGATATAAATCAAAGAACTAAATCATTTCCCTGATGTCACTGATTGAAATTTCAGCCACAATTTCTGGAACATTCAAGAACTGAATCTTTTGCTTGACCACAACTTCCTTGCAGCTCTACCGACTTCCTGGCCTGTTAGTCTGACTTTCTGGCATTAAGATGCACACCATGTTGAAGACTAATCAACTGGAATCATTATATACTTTGGGGTAAAACAATACATTCCACTGAAATTCACATTTTGAGGTGAGTAAGGATGCCATGAAGTGAATTACCTAATGATTGGCTCTTTCTCAATTTGTTAAAGTGCCTCATCTCCAAACTGCACTTCCTTGTCAGCATGATCAAGATCAAAAATTTGCCATGTGCTGTTGGATGTACATGACCCACCCTTTGACACAAAATGGTGTGATATCAAAATGTTGTGGCAATGTCTTTCAATTGTTATATTTTCATATACATTGGTTTATTTTTCTGTTTCTCTTTTTTTCATTTCTTTCAATTCTTTATACATTAGAATACATTAGAATATACAGCACAGAAACAGGCTATTTGGCCCAACTGGTCAATGCCAGTGTTTATGCTCCACATGAGCCTCCTCCTGCCCTTCCTCAAC